GATGCTATGATCTTAGTTTTTTTAATGTTGTGCTTTAAGCCAGCTTTTTCACTCTCCTCTTTCACTTTCATCAAGAGGGTCTTTAGTTCATCTTCACTTTCTGCCATAAGGGTGGTGTCACCTGCATATCTGAGGTTATTGATATTTCTCCCAGCAGTCTTGATTCCAGCTTGTGCTTCATCCAGCCCAGTGTTTCTCATGATGTACTCTGCATATAAGTTAAGTTAGCAGGGTGACAATTTACAGCCTTGACGGACTCCTTTTCCTATTTGGAACCAGTCTGTTGTTCCATGTCCAGTTCTAACTGTTGCTTCTGGACCTGCATACACATTTCTCAGGAGGCAGGTAAGGTGGTCTGGTATTCCCATCTCTTGAAGAATTTTCCACAGTTTGTTGTGATCCACGCAGTCAAAGGCTTTGGCATAGTCAATAAAGCAGAAGTAGATGTTTTTCTGGAACACTCTTGCTTTTTCTGTGATCCAATGGATGTTGGCAATTTGATCTCTGGTTCTCCTGTCTTTTCTAAAACCAGCTTGAATATCTGGAAGTTCACGGTTCATATACTGTTGAAGCCTGGTTTGGAGAATTTTGAGCATTACTTTGCTAGCATGTCAGATGAGTGCAATTGTGCAGTAGTTTGAACATTCTTTGGCATTACCTTTTTTGGGATTGGAATGAAAACTGACCTTTTCCAGTCCTGTGGCCACTGCTGAGTTTTCCCAATTTGCTGGCATGCTGAGTGCAGCACTTTCACAGCATCATCTTTTAGGATTTGAAATAGCTCAACTGGAATTCCATCACTTCCACTAGCTTTGTTCATAGTGATGCTTCCTAAGGCCCGCTTGACTTTGTATTCCAGGATGTCTCGCTCTAGGTGAGTGATCTCACCATCGTGATTATGTGGGTCATAAAGATCTTTTTTGTATAGTTCTTCTGTGTATTCTTGCCACCTCTTCTTAATATCTTCTGCTTCTGTTAGGTCCATACCATTTCTGTCCTTTATTGTGCCCATCTTTGCATGAAATGTTCCCTTGGTATCTCTGATTTTCTTGAGATCTCTAGACTTTCCCATTCTATTCTTTTCCTCTATTTCTTTGCACTGATCACTGAGGAAGGCTTTTTTATCTCTCCTTGCTATTCTTTGGAACTCTGCATTCAGAAGGGTATATCTTCCCTTTTCTCCTTTGCCTTTAGCTTCTCTTCTTTTCACAGCTATTTGTAAGGCCTCCTCAGACAACCATTTTGCCTTTTTGAATTTCTTTCTCTTGGGGATGGTCTTGATCAAGGTTAAGTGAGCACTCATGTGAAAATTACCTAAAGATCACGTGAAAGGAAATATATTCGATTCTACCCATTTCTTTTTTTTTTTTCCTGTCTAATCAATGAACTTGAACCTTTTCCTTTTCTAACTTTTTAGGTATAACCCAGATCTTGGTCAGGGCACCTAGCCTTCTAAACAGATATGATTGATTGGAAATGACATACCATACCTTCTATGAAGTCTAATATTCTCCCAACGATTCCACAGAATTCCTTGATTCCAACCAAAATTCCAGTTTTGGTTGCCTGGATCCACAAGCCTGCACCTCATGCATTCGTTGGGGTTCTTCTCTTCCCTCTCGGCCCTTTACTCTGTTCCCACCCAGATGTACACCTCTGCCGGTTGCGGGGCCATGTCCTCTCTTCACTCTGTCCTCATCTCTGCCTTCCTGCCAAGCTGTAAATGCTTCTCACTGTATTAATGCAGAGTGATGCAAGTGTGTTTGGCCCCTCCCCAACAAAGCTCACTCTAGACCCACCACTGCATAGCAGGGGCTGAACTCAGAGACCTCTGTATGTTGACACAGGATTTGCCCTCCTTCACAAGACTATTTGGACTTGGTATTTTTTTGTGCTAGTAAGTAATAAAATTTTATTTTAAGCAGATTTGATTATTTGTACTTTGTGATAATTCAAACATGGAGCTAGGCCAGGTGGTCTGCAAACTTTTTCAGTAAAGGGGGAGATTGTTGTTTAGTCGCTAAGTCATGTCTGACTCTGCAACCACATGGACTGTAGCCCACCAGGCTTCTCTGTCCATGGGATTTCCCAAGCAAGAATAATTCCTCCGAAATAATACCATTTCCTTCTCCAGGGGATCTTCCCGACACAGGGATCCAACCCACATCTCCTGTGTTGCAGGCAGATTCTTTACTGCTGAGCTACCAGGGAAGCCCAAAAGTAGAGACAGTAAATATTTTTAGGCTTTGATGGCTGCATGAAGTTTTTGTCACGAATACTCGATTCTGCTATTACAGTTTAAAGCAAGTAGATAATATGTAAATGAATGAATGAGGCTGTGTTTTAGTAAAACTTTATTTACAAAACCAAACCAAAACATATATGTGATTAAAATATTTTTAGCAGTATTGTTTACTTAAGAATACAGTTTTTCCTCCCCTACAAACTATAAAAGCACTTATGTAAAAACTATAACTGGCATGTATATTTTCTTTGCTCAAGTTATTGCTGTGTATACAGTGCACATCATTCTTAAATATTCATTTAAAAGTAGGGCTTCTTCTAGGTAATAACTCATTCACCTAGTCAGAGTTACTCTAAAAGCAATCACATTGTGTTGCCTTTAAAAAACAAATTTCTTGTGAATTAGCCTTATGGTATAAATTTGTAAAATGTCTTTCCTGAATTTACATAATATTTAATGCAAAGCAGGAATCTATACAAGTATAGTAAAATAATATACATGGCAAAGGTATTAAAGTGACTGTATGTATTGTTATTTTGCTGCGAATGTGTGAAAAGAATATAGTATTGCTTTGAAATGGTTATCTCCAGCACTTTTGGCCATGTATCTGCAAAACTTTCAGCATGTGTCCTCAGAGTATGCATCTCATTTTTTTATAAATGATATGTAAGAACTACTGTCTTAGCTAATATTTCAAGGCAGTGTACGTAGGGAGAAGCTTTTCATTTGTCATAGTCTTAAATAACCGTATAGATAATAGACTTCTGATGATTTCTCTGTTTGGGCCAAGCTCTTGTCAGATCTGATTAAATTTGTCATTACTTTTACCTTTAATGTGGGTAATAGAAAACTTTTACTCAGAGTAGAGGTGTCAGCTCTGTGACTTTCACATGATTTATGATTGCATTGGTATTATCATCTTTAATCTGTGGATTCCTTGCATAAATCTTAAACATCTTTGGGTGTTTCAGTTTAAGGGAACAGATTACAATCTGTATATGGACTTGGTAGGTCATCACTGTGTATTTTAAAAAAATTTTTTATTTATAATATTTATTCGGTTGCACCAGGTCTTAATTGTGGCATGTGGGATCTTTAGCTACAGCATTTAGAATCTTTAGTTGCAGCATGTGAGATCTAGTTCCCTGACCAGAGATCGAACCCAGGCCCCCTGCATTGGGAGTGCAGAGTTCTTCCCACTGGACCACCAAGGAAGTCCTATCACTGTGTATTTCGGTGTACTCGAGGAAGGCTGAGCAGTGAAGAAATGATGTTTTCAAATTGTGGTGCTGGAGAAGGCTCTTGAGAATCCCTTGGCAACAAGGAGATCAAACCAGTCAGTCCTAAAGGAGATCAACCCTGAATATTTTTTGGAAGGACTAATGCTGAATCTGAAGCTCCAATACCTTGGCTACCTGATGTGAAAGTCAACTCATTGGAAAAGACCCTGATGCTGGGAAAGACAGGGCAGGAAGCGAAGGGGATGCCAGAGGATGAGATGGTTCAATAGCATCGTCAACTCAATGGACACGAGTTTGAGCACACTCTGGGAGATAGTGAAGGACAGGGAAGTCTGGTGTGCTGCAGTTCATGGGGTTGCAAAGAATCAGACACAACAACACGGCTTCTACCTGGAAGTTAAATACCAGCTAAAATGCTTTCCTTTTTAATGAAATAGAATTTAAATAGAGGTTCCAATATTTTGTTCCCATATCACAATTGTACATCTACATAAACTGCATAATTTATGAGATGAGAATTGATAAAAATACTATTTTTCTCTTATTTAGATCTTCACACTTATATTGTGATCTAGCTTTCTTTCATTGTTTACTCACCTAGTTTTTAGGGTGTGTGTGTATGTGTTTGTATGTGTGTGTGCTTGGTCATGTCCAACTCTTCGTGACCCCATGGACTGTAGCCGGCCAGGCTCCTCTGTCCATGTGATTTTCCAGGCAAGAATATTAGAGTGGGTTGCTGTTTTCTCCTCCAGGGGATTTTTTAGTATAGAGCCCAATTACCGTTTCCTTCAGTCTTCCATAGTTGCAGCAGTGTTTTTCACATAGTAAGTGAGTATTAATAATACATGTACAGGACTTTCCTGTGATGCAGTGGTTAAGACTGCAGTCCTGATAACAGGGGGCATGGATTTGATCCCTGGTCAGATACCACATTCTGCATCACATGGCCAAAATAAATAAATATATAATAAAAATACATGTGAATGCTTATAAAAAATGTATGTGCACGTTTCGCACTAAAATAGGCTCAAGGAATATTTAATAGTCATTACTTTATTATTAGTCGCGGTCTCTTTGGCCTAAGGAGAATTTATACTTTGAAAGGAAACCTTTGGAAGGTTTATTGGGTTCAGAGTTGTGCCGGCACTGGCACTTTTGGCCTAAAAGAAGAAGGTAGAGTGACTCTTTATCTGTGCCACTCTCTCTCTCTTCATCCCATATGACCTTGGTTTTCTACATCGAGCCAGCCTGTGAGGGTCTGGTCAGTTCAGTTCAGTTCAGTTCAGTTGCTCAGTCGTGTCTGACTCTTTGCGACCCCATAAATCGCAGCATGCCAGGCCTCCCTGTCCATCACCAACTCCCGGAGTTTACTCAAACCCATGTCCATCGAGTTGGTGATGCCATCCAGCTGTCTCATCCTCTGTCGTCCCCTTCTCCTCCTGCCCCCAATCCCTCCCAGTAAGAACTGACTGAATATTTGTCAGTGACCCCTGTAAACTCTGCTTTTATTATAGGAAGCAGTACAAGTATTGATTAAGCACTCAGCTGATGTCAATGCAAGGGACAAGAACTGGCAGACCCCGCTCCACGTGGCGGCGGCCAATAAGGCTGTTAAGTGTGCAGAAGTCATCATTCCGCTGCTCAGCAGCGTCAACGTCTCCGACCGAGGGGGACGCACAGCCTTGCACCACGCTGCTCTGAATGGCCATGTGGAGGTGAGTGTCCTCATCCCCGGAACAAGAATCTTCCCCACAGACTCTCTTTGCCCCACGTGGAACCTAAATTTCACCACTGAGGCCTTAGAAACCTTAGGCAACTATACCTGTTTTTAAATTTAGAGTCACAATAAATTTAAAAAGTAGCCAACATCTCAGTCTTTTCCTTTGACACGCATGCCACAGGTTGGCTGAGGTATCTTCCTACTTTGGACTTCATATCTCTGACCTGCCTTTAGATTGGACGTTAATTTGGCTCAGATTACCTGCTGAGGGTGAGGCCCGCTCACCATTACAGAGTATACATTTGGTTTCATTGTTGGTTATCTTTCAGATGGTCAATTTACTGTTGGCTAAAGGGGCAAACATCAATGCATTTGACAAGAAGGATCGCCGTGCTCTGCACTGGGCCGCTTATATGGGTAAGGATTCTGTGAATAGAGAGCAAAGTGCAGATAATCTGAACTGAGGAAGCTCCAAGTCTCTCATTGACCGTGTAGATTTTCTCTTGGGCGAGCCTGACTTCTTCTCAAGCTTGGGATCCAACTGAATTAAGATTCAGTCCCTCTTGTTGGCATGCATAGAGCGCTCTAGTTGGGCAGTAGCTTCGTTGGGGATTTATTTATCCTACAAAGAGCAGGAGAGAGGAATCATGGCACGGACTTCATTGAATGTATTGCAATCTGGGTTGGAAAGCTGCACAAACTGTGCTTATGTTAACTTTTTATGGCAGCAAAATAAAGTGTTTAAAAAGGAGGACTGGCTTGCAAAGCAAGGATGTAAATTTCATTTGTCTTTTTATTTATAAGTACTCCTGAAAGAAACAAAAACCAGGAAGAAAGGACAGCATCCTGGCTGTCCTGTGGAGGGGCCTGGAGTCCCTGTGAGTGATTCTGTTACTGCACCACCAGCAGAGCTGGGGCTTGCTCCTATTTCTGCTGGCTCGGGTGCAGGAGACAAAGGAAGATGTTACGTTTCTGTGCTTTTCTCATCACTTCCGTTGGCACTGGTACCACTGACAAATGAGAGCCCTCATAGAGTTTATTTTCAGTGTGGACTTGTGGGAAATGTAGAACTAAGGTCCTTCCTTTGTGTTTCTGATTGGAGAACATCCTGCAATTAGGAAAGCAGACAGAATTCTACCAGCTCCAAGTTATAAACACTCTGACTGCCCGTCACAACACAGGAGATTGTGTAGTAAATTATGGATGAGCTACACAGTGGGACACTATGGAGTAACTACAGCAATGATGTATTTTTTTTTTTTTTAACATAGAAAGATTCTGTAACTATGTTAAGTGAAAACAGATCATATAATAGTACAGTTTAAATAATACAACCTCATTTTTGTAAAAGAGATCTCTAAAAAAAATACAGTCTTGAAAAAGCAGTCTGGGATGTATTAAACACTGAAATATTAACTGACTATCTCAAGGAAATGGATGATTTTGGTTTCCTTTTAACACTTTATTGCTTTTTCTTAATCCTTTTAAACAAGCCTACAGACCTTTTATTATCATAAAAAATAATGGTAATTGTAGGGAGAAAAAGAATGGATTGGGGCAGAGCTGAAATAAATTATGTGGGTATAGATGAGTCTGAGTGAATTGTGGGGCTTAAAAAACAGAATCGTAAGATTTTGCAAGCATTGCTGTTTTTTACAAGGTGAAATGGACTTTCGAATTAATTGAAACAAGTTAGATGCCTGCATGGTCCCTGCCAGACTGGAGCCAGTGATCATTTCCCAGATGACGTTTAGGCAGAGCATACACTAAGCTAGTGTGACGTTAGACTCAAAGAACATGGCCTTTTGCGTTTGTTCTTTGCTGATATATAGCAAACACTAAAGGTGTTCGTCACTCAGTCGTGTCCGACTCTTTGTGACCATGTGGACTGTAGCCTGCCAGGCTCCTCTGTCCACGGGATTCTCCAGGCAGGAGTGCTGGAGTGGGTTGCCATTTCCTTCTCCGATATATACTTAAGATATGTATAAAATTGCTAAAAGAAGTTAAGTTATATTTTTGTGTGTCATCAGGTTGCAAGTAGGGAAACATATAAAGATGACTGTCCTTGGGAACTAAATGTCAAAACCAGGACAAAGAGCTTAAGATAGCATCACCACTAGCCAAGACCAGTCTCTCTCTTTGTCTCTCCCTGTCTCTGTCTCTGTCTCTCTGTCTCTCTAGGCCCTGAAACCAGTACTCATCTTCCACCCTTCAGTTATCAGCAAGGTTTAGAGCAATGATCTTAAAGCATTGAACAATCCTGAGTCAGGAAATAAAGGTCAAATACATTTATCATTGCATATGTAGCAAAATAGACAACAAAGGAAAATATTGTTGAGAATATGCCAACAGGAGTTGAAACTAGTTTTCCGTTTAGTCAGTAATTCATGAGAACACTTTGAAGTTGAACCATATAAAGGTGCCATTTTTGTGGGTTCAAAAAAGGGTCAAACAGTAGCAGTTTTATGTGATTTAACATATGGAGTTGTTCTGATTAATTGATTTTTTTCATTCGTTTTTCCAGACCAAATTGTTATTGTTAGACTTTTCAGTGAAGAATGGCAATTGGTTTCAAAGGCATTGTTTTCATTTTAACACAATTTTTTTTAGTCTCTGGTTCTAACATATTTTTAGGACTTTGTCATTATCTGTAAACAAGCATGGATCTCCTTAAAGAGAAGGCTCACATATGAATCATCTTCTTTCTTCCCACAGGATTTACATACCTGACAGATAGTAGGTATGCACTGAATATTTGCTGGCTATTTGCCATGAACCAGCTTTTACACACAGCTTAGGAAAATGCTGGTGGCAGTGAAAGTGGATGGTGATAATTCAGGTGGAATGAATTGTCAAAGTGTCCTAAGAAGGTTCATCGTGTTTTCTGTTGCCTTGTTTATAAAGGCCACCTGGATGTCGTGGCGTTGCTGGTTAACCATGGTGCAGAAGTCACATGTAAGGACAAGAAGGGCTATACGCCCCTGCACGCCGCTGCCTCCAACGGGCAGATCAACGTTGTCAAGCATCTTCTGAATCTGGGGGTGGAGGTGAGCTATGATTCAGGCATTGTCCCACGGTGCATTTGTGGGTTGTCTGTTGTTCTGAAATCCTGTTTGCCTTTTAATTCAAGAGGGGGAAAAACCCTCATTTCTTAGCATCCTGTTTTTTTGAGTTTACATGGGCGACTGATGAAGGGCAATCAGGGCATATGCTAAGTAGCAGAAAACGAGAAACGGACTAACTTTCTATATCAACATAGAGAAATATTTAAGCATATGTGATATATGATAAATATTGATCAGTCAGTTTTAAAAGACTGGCTAGGTTTCCTCATCCCACCTTTAGGACCTTCTAAATTGAGGCTTCCAAGCAGAAATGGATGAATAAATGGCAGGGACAAACATGCTGAGTTGGAGAAGTTGACTCAATCCCATTCTCCTTGGGTAGCAGGGCAAGAGCAGTGGCGAGGTTGTCCTGGAGGAAAGGAAAACAGTTGTAGCTGAGATGGTGATGGTGAGACACAGGAGTCAGGGCTGTCTGGGGAACGCAGGAGGGAGGGAGGGGCTAAATACACGGCCCAAACACCAGAACTTGGCCTTGAGAGGGGCTAGGCAGCAGAGCCAAACCTGAGGGTTCTGAGTTCAGCTCCCACGGCAGCTCTCTGAGCAACCCCCAACCCTCCCTGTTCTGTTCACCGTCGAGTTTCGAGCTCTTTTCTTGCTGCCCGGGTTCAGTTCTCCTCTGGCGTTTTGAGACAGCTTTGCATTTCATTTTATCCTTTCCGTAGCTGAAGAATTTCTTCCCACAAGTTGAAGCCTGGTCACTCTCCTGTTTTGCTGATCTTTATCTCCAGGCTGAAGCTTTCCCGGGATGACCACCCTGGGGCAAGAGTAAGCTCTGAATAATCACGCTGACAGAGGGATATTTCTTTCTCCAGCACAGCTATTAGGCTTTTGGTGGGGAATGGGAGGATATTGGCTCCAGTGATTTTCGTCACCCATTTTGGGCTCGTTTCCAGATCGATGAAATCAACGTGTATGGAAACACAGCCCTCCACCTGGCCTGCTACAACGGGCAGGATGCTGTAGTCAACGAGCTGACGGACTACGGTGCTAACGTGAACCAGCCCAACAACGGCGGCTTCACCCCGCTGCACTTTGCTGCTGCCTCCACGCACGGTGCTCTGTGTCTTGAACTGTTAGTAAACAACGGGGCGGATGTTAACATCCAGGTAGGACTCTCTCAGCCTTCTTCCAGTGTTAAATGCCTTTGCATTGAGCCTCTGAACAGAACCACCGGCTGTCCGTCACAACGAGTAAATTGTAACTCCGAGCATCCTGACTCTCGCAGCCTTATCCTGTCCTGCCACGCTGTGGAAACTTATGCAGGAGTGCTGCTACCAGGGGATGGCACTCAGATTCTAGCTATGTGACCTTGGGAGCTCAGTGAGTTCACCAGAGTAAACGCTGGGTCTCAGGCGTGTTGACTTGGCCCAGATTCCAATACTGAAGTGAATGTTGAGCTGATAGAGCAGAGGTCCTGAGAATAAAAGGAAGCCTAACCTAATGATATCAGTTATGTTCCCAACCTGTGTGACCCTCCAAGAAGTTTCACAGATGCTTTCCTGGAGTACGCCCCAGATAGTACCTGCCATTTTACGATACTAATCTGATTTTAATGGTAATTCCTTCACTCAGCGAACTGACTGATGACCACCTATGCTCTCGGATTGATACTGGGTGTATACCCCAAGGCGCCCTTAAGGAATTTACAGTATGGCAAGGAGATAATGTACTCAGATAATCACGAGGCAGGACAGAATGCCATGAGGGACGTGAGGGATTAATTAAATGCTGCAAGCCATAAGGAGGAAGTGTTGACTTGCTTTTTGCTTGGACATCAAAACTGGAGATTGCTGTTGATCTATCTGATTGATATCAGTTGAGGAGAGAGAGAATTTGAGAGAGGACATTCCATATGGAAAGAATGGCATTAGCAAAGTGTTTGAGAGGTGTCAGTAGGTAACCTTTAGATAACTGTTAGTTCACTCACTCTGACAGATAACCAAGAGGAACATCTGTAGGCAGCTTTCAGGGTCCAGGTTACATTACTTGGATACATTCAGATTGTAGCAGAATATCCTGACTTATCCCAGGTGACCTTGTTCTCATCCTCAGCTCTCCTTCTCCCAAACACACAGGAATCCTAAATCAAAGACCCAGTGTATTCTGTCTCTGCTTTTGAAAAATGGTAATTTCCAAGATTTAATTTCAAGAATATTGGATCATTTTATTTTAATGACCTTCTCTATTCACTATTAAAATCCTTTTATGTTTTTTCATTTAATTTATAATAGTGGGGAAATATGAGACAAATTTTCAGAATAGTAGTTTATTGTGATTGAGCAGACTACAAACCATTTGAAAGAAAGGAGTCAGGAGCAAGCCAAAATGTGACCTAAGCAAGAATGAGCACTTATCTACTGGCCAAGGAGTTTGGGTTTCTATAAGCTATGGAAGCCACTAATCGTTGTGGAGGTCACATGATCAGAACTGAGGCTTAGGAACGGTAATCTGGCCACAGAACACTGGAGACAGAAAACATAAAAAATGTATATATGACTACATGTAGACTTTAAACTTTTATATAACAGAACAACAACAAAAGAGAAGCAAAAACCTTAACATAAAATTAAAAGAACAACTCGGAAATTTTTCTGCAATATACATGATAAGAAAGATTTAACATATTTAATATATAAGAACTCATAAAAATCAATAATAAAACACCTGACAATCTACTAGAAAATATGGACAAAGGCAGATCACAAAAGAGAGGATACAGTATCCATTAAATTTATGAAAAAGTGTTCAGTATCACCAGTCACTAGAGAAATGCAAACTAATACTTTTATAATACTAGTACATTAATATTTGTCTTTAAAATTGGCAATGTAATCAGTGAAATATTAAAATGTAAGATCATTAAGTATGATCCAGTTTTTGAATTTCAGAAAGTGTGCATCTATGTATGTGCATAGGAAGAAAGTAATATGTGAAATACATATCAATATCCTGGAGCAACAGTTATCACTCCAGAAAGGCAAAATTATGATTTGGGTTTTTTAGTTCCTTTTCAATAATGTTTTAATCATATTGTGATGCAATGAACATGTGTTATTTTCATATCCAAAAGGATTAAAAGCTATTTTCATCAAAAAAAATGTTCAGATATAGTGGACCTAGGGAGGCGACAAGTAGAGGATAACCGAAAGCCAATAGATAAAAGGATAAGAGGTAATAAGGACAGGGAATGGGGATAGTCGACAGAGGGAGAGGCTTTGCAGAGAGGAAATCAATGGGATTTGGTTGGACAGCAGATGGAAGAGAATTGAAATCTGGCTAAGGAGAGGTAGGTAATACAGCATAATGATTCAGTGTCCAGTTCTGGGGCTAGACTGCCTAGAATCTCACCCTGATCTTGACTTTTAATAAATATATAGTCATAAACAACTTCTCCGTGTATCTCAGTTTATCTGTAAAATTAGGGAAACAATAGTATCTTCTTAATGGAACTGTTGTGAGGTTTAAAGTTATCTCACATAAATTACTTGGAACAATGCTGGCCATATAGGAAATACGCCATAAATGTTCTTTTAAATTTATTTTTAATTGGAGGATAATTGCTTACAATATTGTATTGGTTTCTGCCATATATCAACATGAATCAGCCACAGGTATAGGTATATCCCCTCTCTCTCATAAATGATTATTAAGAAGGATGTCAGGAGAAAGAGTAGGCGTAGGAGGTAAAACTAGTGAGTTTAGTTCTTGAGTAGCTGATTCTGAGCCTTTGATACGGCCAGTTATAAGAAAAGCAGTGGTGGACAGCAGTGGAGAACAGAAGGAAATGCATAGGTTGCCTCATTCACGTGGGGGTGATTGATAGTGGGAACCGGGAGAAAAGGCTGAGATCACCTAGGGAGGGAGCGCATCACAGCTCGAGTGGAGAAGGGGATGCAGGTCTGCAGTAACTCTGCTCTCAGGATCAGCAGGAGGAGGAAGAGCTAGAGAAAGAGATGAGAAAGGAGAGAAGGTAGGAGAAGGAAACAGGAGAAGTGGTGTCTTTGTGACGGTAGAATGCAGGCGGAAATGCGAAAGTAAACGAGATGAGAAGAATTTCAGAGTTCTAGATCTTGTAAAGGGGCCCCATCCAAGGTCCTATGTGGAGGTAAGATGCAGGTCTTTAGGGGCAACCAAGAGACCGAGGTGGGGGAAAGAGCCAGCACAGGTTAAAGTCCTAGAGGACGGTGGTGAGAGGACAGGAGGCAAACAGGTGGCTCACCCACCAGTGTCCCCGAGACTTGGGACACTGCTCTTGCCTTTCTGGTGCCTGAGGACACCCTGTGGATCCTCCAAAGGAAGGAATACTATTGAAGTTAAAGTATCTCTCTTCACCAGCCTCACTTAATTGATTCACAGGGTTATCTGATGCTCTCTATTGCCTCTGTAAAACATGCCAGCTGATGTTTTCAGTGTGACTGATACTGAAGCTGGAAGGCCACTTTCTCCCACACATACCTACTTCTCCCAGATAACTGATTAGTGGCCAGTTCAGACTGGATAAGGGATTTCAACTGAGTTTTATGGTTTATGGCAGCCTTTTCTTCTCCCTCACAAAATGGACGTGGAAAGCATAGCTACTTTAATAGTTAATTTTTCCTGTAGATGCTAATTATCAATAGAGTATAAGAGGAACCATTAAAAAAAAAAGTCTGAGACTTGTGTTTATATATTATCTAATCTGTGTAAATGGGATTTTGAATCGAATCTAGCCTTCTCCCTCAGCCTCCCTTCATCTTCTCTATGTATGAATTCTCTTGACTCTTTATTAGTTATTCCAGATTCTCTCTAGATGCATGGATCGTCTAATGTTTCCATGGAGCCATGCAGTCTGAGTGGCGGTTGTTATCTCTCTGCACCACATTGCTCTTGGATTTTGAAAGTGTTTGTAGATTGCAAGACAATTTGTATTTGTTTAGATTTGTCAAAGTTCGAAGAAAATGGCATATTGGAGTGTAGCCAATTCCTGTTCACATGTTCACTTTGTTTTCCTCTGTCCTCCCAAAACACTAAGAGTGTCATCTTGATGAGAAATTTCAAGATGATGGAGATGAGAGAAAGGCTGTGTGTCCTGCATGCACTTTAAAGCCCCTCATTTTGCTTAAATTGACCATGGCCCTATCTTTGATTTTGAATATAGTGATGTCAGAAAGCTTAATTATTATAATAGACACACTACTTTATACAATAAGCTGTTGAATGTTTACTTGTTTTTTACAAAGAGGAAGAGCATGAGAAAATATGAAATAATTTCTCTTCTCTAGTAGAGACCACATTGTTATTTCTGTAGCATCTCAAGGCTCTTTTCGGAAGCTTTCAAACTAAGCTTTAAAGAAGATAGTTACATATGGCTACACTGGATATGACTTAGAAAGATAGGTTCAGAAATGACCCTTGCCAGGTTGCCTAGCTTCTGGTCACTAACACTCCACCTGCCTGTGGTCTCAATTCTTTTCTGCCCACGGGCCCTTAGATCACTTAACTTAAAGCCTATCACAGTTTACTAAGGCAGACCAGCTCTCTCCTTTTTGTGTACTAGGACCAAATTTTATTCTATAATTGCATTGCAGAGGTTGAAGATGAAATTGGAATAGGCAAGAGTAAGCGCTAACAGCGACGTGTCCCTTGGAACTTGGGAGAGCAAGTAAGCCAAGAAGGGAGGTGAATGTCCAAGGTACCCACGTACTGCCTCCCGCTTTTGAACCAGTAAAATCTTGACCATATATAGCTTTTTGCAAACCAAGGTATTAGATTGCTCTTCCATTGAGTTAGGAAGCCCTTTTGGATTTCTGACTATATCTGATGCCCCCTCCCCCAGCTGACCTTAGCATTATCCTGTTGAACAGGAGTCCCCAACCTCCGGATCTAATCCCTGATGATCTGAGTTGGAGCTGATGTAACAGTAATAGAAATGAAGTGCACAATAAATGTAACGTGCTTGAATTGTCCCAAAACCTTTCCTACCCCCACTCCGGTCCCTAGAAAAATTGTCTTCCATGGCATCGGTCCCTGGTGCCAGAAAGGTTGGGAATTGCAGCTGCGAAGGCTTCATTGTCCTCCCCTGAGCTGCATGACAGCGGGGGCGCTGTGCCCTGGAGAACCTGTGCCTTCAGGTTCCTGGGGAGCAGCTGTGTGTTTAAGTTCAGAGAAGGTTTGCGGGAGGATGAAGACAGAAGGCACGGCCTCCCAGGTGGCTAGAAGGAAAGAATCCGCCTGCCAATATAGGGGCCACAGAAGACATAGGTTTGATCCCTGGGTTGGGAACATGCCCTGGAGGATGAAATGGCAGCCCGCTCCAGTATCATTGCCTGGAGAATCCAATGGACAGGGGAGCCCGGCAGGCTGCAATTCACGGGGTCTCAGAGTCAGACGCAACTCAGCCCATAAAGGAAGAAGGCATTAGAAGTTCTAAGAAGAAGGCATTAGAAGTGGAAGAAAAAAATGAATGGATTTCTGGGGATATTGGTCAAGAAAATTGAAATGCTCCATTTAGTTCAAGGATTAATCTTTCTTGGGTGATGGTGAATCACTCTTTCACCTGCCCTGAAAGAGTACTGATATTTGTCATTAAATATTCTTAGTCCTCATTGGATTTGCTTCATGACCCATGGCAGAATCATAAGTCAAGTCAATAGGTAACAAAATTTTCCATGCCTTAAATCTGGCAGGGAAATGCACCTAGAATTGGTAAGGAGACTAGAAATGAAGAAATATTTTTCTAAAAGCAAAGCTTAGAATAAGTGGGAGAATTGAACATTCCTTCTCCTTTGAGAATTCAAGGAATGTTTTATATCTGTCTGAAGTTCTAGGAGCCACAACAGCAAAGGGAAGCCCATCACCCCCACCCCTGTGTGAAAAATTTCTCAGGCAGATAGTGAAACTCAGTAGGATCTCTAGTCTCAACCTGAATATTCTTAATTCTCACTTGTAAAAGCTAAATACAAAGTGCTAGTTTTTTGACCTTCATTGGTTTTCAATGACTTCTTGAAATGAGTTCCTTTTCTACCTATAGCATATGAACAAAGCTGTCCCACAGTGACTGCTATGACATCTTAATGCCCAACCTCTTGCCACCCATCTCTCTCTCTCTCTCTCAGAAAAAAAAGAATCAACTAAGAACTGGCCTTAGCAGTAGATGAGCTCAGGCAAAGGTCTTCAAGAATAGATCTGAAGCAAACATCACCGTTGACCATATTGCCGTCATTTTAATTTTACCTAAAATGGGCATCTCTGCTCCTTTACCAAAGGCACAGGCACTCCAAGGGGAAAGGGTGTGGTGTTCACTCTCTCCGTGATGGGGAAAGCTTTATAAACTGTGCTCCCTGGGGCTCTCTGACTGCAGTTTAGCAGCCTCCAGGTTGGTGGCTACTGCTAGCCTTTCCGCTCTTTTCTAGGCATGGAAAACTCTTGTTTAAATATTGATAAAGGTATTATCTAAATACTAAAGTATTTATGGCTTTATGTATATTTAACTAAATGCTAATTGGTTATATTTTCATCTTAAATTTGAGAAAATACTGGAGCAAAATTTAAAGAAATAGCACCACCTAGGGACAAATGAATGTCAACTCTGCAATTTCTGTTTTCTCTCTCAGGAGTCTTAGACTGTCATCACTTTTTTGTTGGAGGGAAATATGTCTTAAATCCTCATTCCTAAGTGGTTCCCAGACTTTTGAGTGTTTCTAATTGTCTGCATTTCTCCCATCTAAGATGCAGACTCTGTAATCAGATAGCTTTCAGGATCCCTCCTCCATTGTATATTTTGTGGTTGGTGATGGCATCGTATTCTTATTTTTCGGTTAATGCTCCTTTCCCCCCAAAATATTATTTCAGTAAAGTTTCAGGTTTGCTTCCATCTTCTTTTACTTTCTAAGTCTTTTCCATTCAGGCTATAATCATACAAGATTAAGATAGAGAAAAGATCCTATTATTTCTATTTTTTCCCCATCAACCTGAGAATCTTTCACTATAATGATTATTTATTTCACTCAATATGCAGCTACCAAAAGAGTTGGGGTTCCCTGGGGTCTCAGTTGATAAAGAATTTGCCTGTAATATAGGAGACGTGAGTTCAATCCCTGGATTGGGAAGATCCCCTGGAGGAGGAAATGGCAACACCCACCCCACCCACCCCCAGCCCCATATTCTTGCCTGAAAAATCCCATGGACAGAGGAGCGAGGCAGGGCTGCAATCCCTGGGGTCTCAGTGAGTCAGACACGACTGAGCGCAGTGTTCCAGAAGAGTCGGGCCTGACTTAGTGAGCACACAACAGCAACACCAGCTTTGACTGACTTCCCTTGGCACAGGTTATACATAGCTCCTCTTCAGTCTAGACTTATGGGATATATAATAAAATTTCTTCTGTTCAACCTTGTGGTTTTATAAGCTATTCCAGGCCACAGTCAAAAGCAGCTGCTCCTAAACTTTAGTGTGCCGTGAAAGTTAGAAATGAAATCAGTTCTGATTCTGTAAATCTGAGCTAGGACCCAGGATTCACATTCCTACCAAGAACCCTGAATGATTCAGTTGCATGTAGTCTGTGGTTCACTATTTGAAATATTTAAGTGATTATTTGCTTTCCATTGTAGCATTTTTAAAAGAATCATTTTAAAACACAAGTATATGAGTTTCATCACAAAAATGAACTTGTGCTTTTAAAATCTTGTATTTTAAGCTCAGGATTAGGAAAACATTTCTTCTGAGACTTAGAAAAGTAACAGTTACATAAATTTCTTTTTGGTTTTAAAACTAATATCTGAATCAAAGAATACATAATATATTCTGTCAGTTGGGGATACTTTGTCTCTAAAGTAACTAATATTTTCATGGGTATTACTGTTTTTAGAAAATTCTATAAACAAATACTACTTAATTAAAAGTGTAGAACTTTGGTATTTGGTGCAGTGCTGACTAGTGGGTAGACTCTGTACATTTTCCATGTTTTGCCTTAACCTATATCAGAGAATGCCGTCATAACTTGAGTGATAAAGAGGTGGTGTATAAATTCAGCACATTTCAAGCTGATCATTAAAATGGCAATTTGCTAAACTATTGCATATCTTAATCCTATGATTTCTAATGAGTTAAGTGGAGTAAATGTTTCTTTATTGCGATAATAAAAAGAAGTGTTTTCTTTTCCCTCTGTGGAATTAAAATGTAGATAATGGTGGAGGATTTCAGGTCAGTTTTGAAAATTGGAATGATTTATAGCAGTTTAGTCATCTTTAGGCCAAAGAGGACCAAACAAGTTAACACATCATTTGTCTTTTTTTAATTTACCGCAGACAAAAGTTGAAAAAACACTATAATAAACTGTAATGGAAAAGATATGAAAAAGATATATGTATACATATATATGTATAACTGAATCACTTCGATGTACACTGGAAACTAACACAACATTGTATATTAACTATACTTCAATTTTCTTTAAGTTGAAAAAAAAAAACCTCCTTGAAGGAAACTTTTATTAGTAGACCACATGAGATTAAAAAACATTTTGGATGATTTCCTCAGTTTAAACCAGGGTAGTTTAAAAATTGCCAGTGTAACTAAAAATTCTGCAGTTCTTCTCTAGAATAATTTCCATTTCTCCAAGCTTCTTTAAAGTGTGATGTTATATATAACATAAACAGTAAGAATCTACTATATAACATAGAGAACTATATTCAATATCTTATAACAACACATAATGGAAATGAAATCTGAAGAACTCATATACATATCCTGAGTCACGTTGCTGAATACCTGAAACCAACACAACACTGTAAATGAACTATGCTTAATTTTTTAAAAAATGTGATGTCAGATAGAAACCTGCAATACCATATACACTCTATTGGGAATTGTGGAATGTTTCAGATTGGTGTTACTTGCCCATTGTTTTTTTCTCTCTCTCTCAATTTTTAGAGTAAAGATGGTAAAAGTCCGCTTCACATGACAGCCGTCCACGGAAGGTTCACACGGTCGCAGACCCTCATTCAGAATGGTAAGAGAGATTCTGCTACAGTGTCATTACTGGAACAGTTTCTTGGTGTGACTTGAGTATGGCTGTCAGTTATTTGAATATGAAATACAATGCTCTGTTAGTGTTTATTAAGCTTGGATTTATACTATCCTTTGATGAACTTGGCTCCTTATCAGACAGGTCATCACCACCCAGCTTAGGAAAAAGGACATAGAACCATAAGTTTCATAGTCAATTCCTATTCAAAGAACATTTGAGTTTTGAAACTGGAAATGATATATAGGCTTAAGATCCTGCATGTTTTACTCAGAAACTAGTAAAGATAAGTATCAGGCATTTTCTAACAGCAAAGTTGAATTATTTTTAAATTTTCAAACCCACCATAGTTTCATAAGTTAAAACTCATTAAGCTACTTGGTCAAAGGTAAGAAAAATGAGAAGACTCAACAGAAACCGGGTACATACATGATATAAAGGATCATAAAATCACAGGCTTGTTAGAGACCTTGGAAAGTCACTGAATCTAGCAATATTCCAGACTTACAATAAAGATGTGTTTGAACCATTGAGTCTCTGCAGCCAAGATACTAGGGAGTGTCACTGCACATCACGATTCATGTTCCTATTAGAGGGTAATGGCCAGAATTGGGGAGTGCACTGACTTTGCCAGCACAACTTCTGTTATCTTAGCTAATCTTGGAGACACTTGAAAAAAAAAAACAAAACAGGTTTAGTTCAGATTTTTGCTGACATTTCACATAAATTCAGCAGTTCCTAAACTATCTTTAGTTGACCCACATTTCTAGATCTCAAAACTCAGACATTAGTCAGTTTTTTAGACCCATCTTCCTGTGATCTGTAAGAATATTGGATGGCATACACTTGAAGCATTAGTGGTATTATCAGGAAGATCCCCTGCAGGAGGACACGACAACCGACTCCAGTATTCCTGCCTGGAGAATCCCCATGGACGAAGGAACCTGGCGGGCTACGGTCCACAGGGTCTTGAAGAGTCAGACATGCCTGAAGTGACTTAGCATGCACAAATTATGTCTTAGGCACTGAAGTCATTTGACACTATGCAGAGGAATTATGCTAAGGAAGCAAAATATCTGCAGTGAAGCACAGGAAATTTATAAGCACTTCAGTGAAACTATAGAAGAAAAGCAATCCCAGCAAATTTCCAGTGAGCAAATACAGGTAATTGAAAATTAACTGCACAACACCTATTAATTCTAGCTTGAAATACATGGTATGCCTTTGACATTCACTTTACTGAAAAACCACTTTGTTTTGTTTCTCTCTAAATAAAGGGAGGTGGGGATGGCCCCTGGCATCTCTCCTTTGCACACTTTCCTCATCCCACTCTTGTAGAAGGAAATGGCGGGCCACTCCAGTATTCTTGCCTGGGAAATCCCATAGACATAAGAACCTGGCAGACTGCAGTCAGTCCATGGGGTCACGAAAGAGTTGGACACGACTTAGCAACTTTAGCAACTAAACAACAACGACTCATCCCACTGTATTTCTCCATTGTTTTTCAGAAAGTGTCCACTGCCTTAAAAATAAACAAAACCAGGGAGCTACTTGGTATCCAGTTCAAAAAATTTAATGTGAATATAATCACTGGGCTTTAGCTTGATGGCATTAAAAAGCATTGTTCCCTGTTGAAGCAGTTTCAAGCACTAGTGACCAGACCAGAGAAGGAGCAGCTTTTCACCTTGTAAGCACTGCCTTCCTGCAGGTGCATCTCTGTGGGCCAGACCTGTGTCATGCTAATGTGCTTAAAGCAGGCTTGGGGCGGCGCTGGCTGCTTTGATCTCTTCACAAACCATCCCTCTGAACTTAAACTTCTGTGCCCTCTCTACTAGAATTCTTGCTAGACTTTTGAGTGGGGATGAGACCTGAAAAAGACCCTATGTCTTATCCTCTGTGATCGAGGAGCTTGTCTCAGAGCCTGTTCTTGGCTGGCCTGGCATCTTGCTCTGTGGGTTGAGTGGAGTCCAGGGTCCTAAAATACTGAAAATATAGTGGCTATAGTATATAACTTATTATATATAATGATAATGGTTGCATGTTCCTCACATTGTGCCAGACACTTGACTAAGCACTCCACATAAATCCTTCCAACCACCCCCATGAGAAAGAGGTGCTGTTATCATCTCCATTTCAAACATGAAGAAACTGAGGCAGAGAGGTGGTCACTTTTGTTGGGACACCTGGCGCATGTGTTGAGGAACAGAGATTAGAACTCAGGAAGACTAACACTGGAAACTGAACTCTCAAACACTCACTTATAAATGTGTTATCTGGATGAAGGATGACATGTTAAACATTTTTTTTTTTTTTTGAATTCTATTTAAGAGTTGCTTGTATTTGGCATGGAGTCATCCCTGTAAAAGGATAATTTGGCATTCTCTTCTCTCAGCCAACAATTCTTTGCATTTGTTACACATGTGAGAACTGTGAGTTCTTCCATTTGACCTTAAAAAAAAAAAACCCTTAGGGACAAGAACAGGAGCTCTTTTCTTTCCTCCTCTTTGTTGGTTTCCTTTTAGGAAAAGTCCAGAGACTCACACCCCCAGGGCCTGGTGTCCATCCTCCAGAGCGGACCCCTACACGGCAGGACCCCGAATGCCCATCCCCCATGGGGACACCACTTGGTCCTGAGACCTGCTGAGGGACATGCTTGGTGTTTGCTTTGTTAAATTGCTCTGATAATCTGGACTTTTTGCAGCATTTCTCTGCTTCTCTGATTGCTCTCTGGTCAGGGCTATTAGTCTTTATAATACCTTCCCCACCTGCCCCCCCCAAATCATTCAGTTTTGGTAAGGTGATCACTTTTAAAAACTCTTTTTTAAGTTAATAAATAAAAGAGTGCCTCTGCTGTTCAGTCACATTGTTTGTTATCTGAAGCTGTGTTGTCAGAACCAGAGAGGGAAAGAATTTAATGAAGACATAATTTGATATCAGAAGGCATTTGATCCAGCCATTTGCACAAGCAGCTGCCTTAGATGCTGCCCAGCAGGTTACAAAAGTTCAAAATGATGCTTTTTTTTTTTTTTTCATAGAAGCTTTAAAAATAAATAGAGTTTGAAAAGGAAGAGCCAAGGGATAGTTTAGGATGATTCATTGTGAGATTTTTTTATATTTGGGCTCATAGCCTTTCCAAGGCAACTTAATAAGATGACTATTCTTGTTTGTGCAATGAAAAGCTAATTTCAGATGAATGCCTGGATAGTGCTGCATAAATCATCTCTTCCTGTATGCTCTGCCTGTGTCTAAACTCACAAATGTTTATTTTCCTCACTAATTATCAATGCTGGATTACCAACATTTAACTTGCAACTTTCAAATGAAGAGTAAAGATATTTGAATTCCAAGCAACTGTTAAAAGATTTTCAAATGAAAATGGAAAGCTTTGGGAGTAACCGGAAAATAGAAATTCATTCATCTAGAGGTCCTGAACATATTTCTGAATAACAAATAGTCTCTATTTTCCTACTAAGTTATGATGTTTTCCACAAGTATATTTTAAAGCACAATTAAAGATAATTACCCATATTTTTACAGTTTTAAATTAACTTATAAAATGGTAGTGACAACAAAGAAACTTTATCAGCTCAAATCCCCTAGACCATCCTTTCCAGTATTTTTCACTCTTCTCTTTTCCTGTCTTATTTTTGGAATATTTGAGGCTGATAAACATGGAGCCCCTAACACTTTGCTCAGAAGGACATGAGCAATGTAGTGTTTGTCCAGGACAAAGATTTTTTTGAGGTTCCACTCTTTGATCTGCTCCGTAGGTGGACCTTTTAGGCTGACCACTGTGGGCAGCTCTCACATGGGTACCTGTATCCTTGATTGCTCTGGGGTATCCATGCAGACCAAGTGGCTGCCTGTCCCCAGGGCATAAAAATGATCTAAATTGGATGCTTCTAAATTTAAATTATTGTGAGCTATTTCTTGAGTCCCTAAAAGTTTGCAGTGGAGATCAAACCAGTCAATCCTAAAGGAAATCAACCCTGAATATTCATTGGAAGGACTGATGCTGAAGCTCCAATACTTTGTCTACCTGATTGGAAGAACTGACTCATTGGAAAAAACCCTGATGCTGGGGAAAATTGAAGGCAGGAGGAGAAGGGGACGACAGAGAATGAGATGGTTGGATGGCATCTCTGACTCGATGGACATGAGTTTGAGCAAGCTCTGGGAATTGGTGATGGATAGGGAAGGCTGGCATGCTGCAGTCCATGGGGTCGCAGAGAGTCTGACACGACTGAGCGACTGAACTGAAAAGTTTGCAGTAACTAATTTTGTTTTATTACTTTTCTTGATTGCAGCCTGCCAGGCTCTTTTGTCCATGAAATTCTCCAGGCAAGAAAACTGAAGTGGGTTTCCATTCCCTTCTCCAATAAAATGAATACATGCTCATTATAGAATAAAATTAAATTATTAAAGAGATCCCCATCAATGTGTCTCCTTAATCCCACCCAATAATTGCTATTGACAATTTGATGAAATGTCCAGATTTTTTACATGTATTTAAAAATGTACATATAAAGATATGTAATTACTTTTATGGAAATGATCATAGTCTTCTATATATTTGAGCAACTGGTTTTAAAAATCAATACTTTGCTGCAGAAACAAAGATTTGAGGAAAGATCAGCATTTGTATTCCAGCTGCCATTTATATTTCTCTGTCACAAAGTCAAAAAGGGATTACTGTTTTGTGAACAGCTATTAAGTTGCAAAATCCAAATGTGTACATTTATTGGCACATGCTGAAGTCTTGGCTGTGGAGTGAATCATCTTAAATCCTATGTAAACGGATGTACTAATTGGAGTTTTTTTAAACATCTTCCCCTTCTACAAAGGCCACACATATTTGTAATTATTTCACTTTTTAGGAAAGAATCTCATTCATTAACTCTGGTTTACCAACATACCTGGCTAGAAAGAATATTGTTTGTTGGAAATAAATCTTAGGGGATTTATAAATCATAGTAGGATTCATT